TCATTGATCTTGACTCCGGTGTTTGTACCACTTAAAAAATGATCAAAGACAAATCTAAAATTTCATATCAATAAACGGTTCATTCCATGGCTGCAATTTTACCAATCAAGGCTAACTCCATTTTAGTAGGGTCCATCTCCAAAAATCATGGCCGTCATCATAGCTCAAGTTATTGTTATTAGTTTTGTTTTACTACTCTTTATTTTCCTTGTGATTTTTTGCATTGTAGTGCGAAAGAAAGGGTTTCCAAATATCTACCGTTGGTGGTTGAGGCCTTTTTATCAATTAGGTTGATTGAGGAAGAACATCATGCTTTAGAATGGCTGAAATCATCATTGTTTTTTGTTTTGGTTTCTTTCTCGATGATACCCCTTACCAAAGCATGCACTGTTTTATCCACATTACAGTTATAGTTTTCTGACTTCGATAAAAGCCAGTATATTTTTATCAAAATTCTCCTGCATTTCCCGAGCATTTTCGTTGGCTGTTCTCGTTAATTCGTTCTATCATAATATGGCACTGCGTTTTCCTCCATCCTTTAGTTCCAGAGAAATTGCTTCATTATAATGCTAAGCGCCCCGGAAAAAGTCAAAGAGAGTTCCGCGGAGCGTTAGAATTTTCTCAATTCCATTTTCAGAAGTTGGGTTTGATACATCATTTACCTGTATCCGCGGTTATCCACATTGATCTCAATATTTGGAGTATTCAAACAGACATATATGGCATTTCCAATATCATAACCAGAAGCTTCTGCATAGCTGTAGACACACTGGTAATGACTTGAATTTATATCTTTCCTTTTAACAAAAAGGCACACCGTAAATTCCGTGAGATTAGATGAAATGGCATTTGCTTTGATGGCATAACTTTCGGTGGTAGACTGTTTAAAAATAATCCGGTAAGCTGTGGGGAAAAAATGAATGATTTATAAAGCGGAAGTGCCCCTTCCTACGTTCTCTAAAGAGAATTTCATGAATCAATTCAGAAGAAACGGTCCAGGATTGAGTACCTTGTATATATCGTTTGTCAACCATTGTTGTTGATAATTAATACCTCAAGAGACTAGATTTCAAACAGTCCACAAGCAAATATCAGGACATCTTGCCAATAAATATTCTGACATCTGCATAAATTATTTTAGGTTCCCAGCGGAACGCTCGGCATAAATGGTCGCCATGCACCCGTGTTTCAACGTAATTAGCGAAAAGGGGGGTATAAGAGATCCAGTAAAAAAATTGGCTTCAACCAAAAAAGAAAAACACTTAGGAGCCTTTGAAACTTATGGCTATGCAGAATACAAGAGGAATACCACTTAGCCCAAAAACTACCTTAGATTGACAAGGCCTAGGAGCAATTGTTGCTTTTCGGCAGGTGATATATTATTAACTATACTACTGTGATCAACCATTTTAAAGTTATAAATTACATTTTAGACACATGTATAGTAGATGCATAATTTGTTGAATGACATGCAGTTGTTTGTAGTGACTCTGTTTAGTCTGATTGCCAAAAGCACATATGTTGCAAAAAACCACCAAAGCCTGTTGCTGAACTCCAGGGATCCATACAGATGATTTTCGTGTAGATCATATGAAATATCTTTCACGTCTCTACAAAGCTGTTGAACACGACAAGCTACGATCTTTTCACACTGTGTTCCATGAAACCCTGATGCACAGTTACAGTATAACCTATAATTAACGTCCAATCGAAAACTCTCTAAAATGTTGAATGGTCACGCCCATCTCCACGAGACTTCGCTTTGTAGAAGGAAGCTTGCGCTCTTAGAATATGTCATCAAAATACGATACACGTCTCTACAAACCTGATGAACAAGACAGGCCTTCAATCTTTTCACACTGTGTCCCGTAAAATCCTGGTGCACAGCTGCAGTTATATACGTCGACTCCATCTGTGCAAGTTGCATTGTTTTTGCAGGGATGGCTGTCACAAGTAACTTTTTGGGAGTATAAGATGACGTTTAGAATTTTCGTCAATACTATTTTGCTAAACTTCCTAAGCAACGTTAATGTAAAAAGAATAGAGAAAAATTGTGGACCCTTACATGAAAGGCGTGGGGCCGATTTGACTCCGCTGACGCTTAGTCATTTTTCCGCTATGCCATGTACAAAACGCTTTGTGATCGGTCATTTTTCAATAAATATCAAACTTAGATCTGCTGATTTGTTAACTTTAAAAAAATATGAAATGTTAGACGTTTGCGATTTATTTCAAATAAAAAATTATACATACACACATAAATTTTGAACTCCCCATATCTTTTTCATTCTTGTCAGTTTTCTATTTAACTTCTCTCTTAAAAAGCTCCGTTTTGTTTCGTTTCGTTTTTCGGTTTTTTTTTTTTTGTTTTTTATCTGTTTGTTTTCAAGTCTCGGAGACAAATATTTTGCGTTGTATTTGACTTGACCGAAAGACCACCTGCATTCTACTGTTCAAAGTTGTTCTTACCCAGCTCAGCACAAGTTTCTCCGGTCCAAGGGGGCTTGCACTTGCATGAATAAGTTTGTTTCTTTTCGTCATACACGCAAGCACCTCCATTTTTACAACTGTCGGTTATTTGGCAGCCCTAACAGGAAGTAGTAACAGACAATACGTCGTAAAAAAACTATTCAAAACACGAATATGAATGTACTTTGGAATTATTCCAAAGAAGTGCTCAGCTTTCTAAGTTTTTCTTGGACTCAATGATTCGAGCTCGATGTAAAATTTCGGACCAAAAATTAATTTCAGTATCAATTAAAATGTAATAGTCGATTTCTGCCGTTATTAAGCCTGTAACAAAGAATAATGCATTTAAAATTATATAAAGAGGGTAAGTTTCTAAAGAAACTGAGGTGCTGCTTCTGTAGGAGAGTATAACATGCAGGGTAATTCAATATTAACAACTGAGTAGATGACGTAACTTGGCCATCGAAAAGAGTTGAAAGCTGACGTTTCGAGCGTTAGCCCTTCGTCAGAGCGAAAGATGGAGGGCTAGCGTCAGCTTTGAAACAGGGCATTTAAATTTTTATTTGTTCCTCTTGTTTAACCAACTGACAGATTCTAAAGACTACTGGAAAGATAAGTGTTTTCTTTGAAACATCCATCCTTTCATCTAATGGGGCACTTCTGATCCATCCAATCACCAATCTACACATCTATCCATTTCATATCAGTATAGAAATGAAATTAGAGAAGATCTCCATAATGCACTGATATCAGTTTCAAAAGGAAGATTGAGCTCGCCTTTCACTGAATAGCTGTTTTGATGCCGCAAGCCTTATGTGCCAAAATTTATGATCTGTTTTGGCAGAACTTAAATAAAAAACAAACAAACAAAAACAACTAACCCGTTTGCTTAACCCGTCGCCGGCACAAATTACAATTTTGTTAAATTAAACTCCTCAAGGAAAAAACAGCTTCTGAGACCTGCACAGTATATGTTACTTTCAGTCCGAAAGATTTTGCATGAGAATTCAAAATGCTAGCACGTAGACTGAACAGTAGCCGATAAGACCATAGATTTTGTTAAACGAATTTTTTACACG